GAGACTGCGCCGGAAGAGAGCGTCGGCTTGGTTGACATCGCCTGTGATAATGCAGGAACGGCTGGCGTTCGAGCCTTTCGGCACTGGTGACGCGCGGGAGCGCGATGTTCAATACAGTACCTATTGCCACAGTCCTCGCAAATGATGGAGGCCACAGCGTTATTTCTGCAATCCGTGTAGCTACAGTAGTTTGTCCGCTCCTTGATACCGGTCGAAAACAACGCAGCCGGGCGACAACCCCTATCGATGTGTCGCGAAACGGCCTCATCTATTGGCTGCCCAGAACGCTCCAGTGACACGGCTTGGTGGCAAAGAGGACAGGTAACGTTCTGGGCGTTGAACGTGCGGCACATGTGGGCAGCCACGGATGTGTGGTAAGCGCAGAACATATCACCGCAAAGGACACAACGAGAGGCAAGAGGATCTACCTGTGTGCAGCCTTGAAAAGTGCAACGCTTCGACTCATCATCGCCAACCCCAACCTGCATCCAGTCCTTTGACGCCTATCGTTTTCAAGGAAGGGCAGACAACAGAAAAACAAATGCAATGTATATATAGATAGATATTAAAGCATAACAAAAATAAAAATAAAAAATACATGCAATAAATAAACGCTTTTGTAAACAAACAAACAAAAAAAAAACGACGGTATATGTGGTTCTCAGGCAATCACAAAGAAACACCCTAACCCTTTCTTTACCAGCCATTTCCACTGAGTAACATTCAGAAATTTCCGGGCTGCTTTGTCTTACAAACTCACTTTGCGATAGGGACCCCAACCCCTGGCATGGTATTATTTTTATCGAAACCCAAAAAAACAAGAAGACCAAACGTGCGAAGTGAGACATCCACCGCTAGCTCAAGTTTCGAGCTACTGATTGTCGCGCTAAGCCACCACGGGCCTTCTTCACCTGCCAACTTGCCACCCACAAGACCAACAAGAACTCCTCCAACCAACACGTTTTCCGCGAGCAGGGGACAAATTTCTTGCGTCAATGACTCCGTCCATCCCTTGGATCTGAGAAGCTCGTAAAGTGGCCCATCACTGCGAACAAACGAGGTAAAATCCTCCGCGGCGTCACCCAAATAAGTCCCTTTATTACCAATACCATCAGTATTATTATTATTATTATTATTATTATTATTATTATTATTATTATTGCTGGTCAAAGTATTAGCAGTAGTAGTGGTATTAGAAGCAGCAACGGATACCTGACGCAAAATGACATGCCAATAATCCCGTAACCAAATAAATCCGTTCGAAAGAAATTCACGTATAAGCTCCGGGTGATGGGTCGCATTCAGTACGATCTTACGCGCTCGCATAAACGAGGCGAGATATGAGGCGGATTCAACAACCACCCGCCAGCGGCACCTTGCATTTAAAAGAAATTTCCCATCGTACGCCTCAAAGGCGCGAGAACCCACGGAGACAATCTCCACACCAGGGCCTTTGTATGGCCGCGTCTCAAAGAGCATGCGAGCGGTGGCAACCGTCACAAGAACAATCCGCCGACACGCAGCACCATTGGGGTTCAAATGGTAGAGAGGCACGAGACCGGAGCCCACTACGTTCTCCTCCTTTTTCTCCAATGTAGAATTGTAGTATTGAAAGGCGTCAGAGCAATTCGGATTGATCCCGTAGAACTCAACGATATTACACCATTCAGGATCATCTCTGCCTACGGGGGCCCAAAACTTCCCTTTTGTCCAATGATTCAGCTTCTCCTGAAGCAACAAGGGAGGGGCCCAATCTGGCAACGATCGCTTACGAAAAGCGGCAACAAAAAACCCACCTGTGTCATCACGATGGGGCAAAACACGTAAAACCTTTCGGCCATCAAACGTCAAAGGTAACGTGGCTATTTGCAACTGGTCAACGTTGGGAGATAAAATGCCACCAACAGAGTGTAGCAACGCACCCTTTTCTCTTAAAATGGCATTAACATCAAGAAGCTCCACGGTATCTCCAAATAACTCCAAGCCCGCACACACAACTTCCTCGTCTTCCTTTGGATTCATGCTACACGTACTGTAAACAAGAATCCCACCCTCCTTGAGAAGATCCAATCCACGTCGCAGCAGTGCCTTTTGTGTTGGCACAAGTGATTTGACATATCCAGGACTCCAAGAACTCGCCGATGCTGGTTCCTTGCGAACTGTGCCATCTCCACTACATGGAACATCGCAAATAATACGGTCAAATCGCTTCTCTGCAAGTGAAGATCCTCGTTCAAAAGAATAAAACAGTCGTGGCCATTGCGAGGCGTCACAACGGGTGCAAATCACATTTGGCGCATGAAAACGCTTTAAACGAGCAGGCAATATTTGGGTGGCCTTAATACGATCTTTTTCATTTACAAAGAATACACCCTGCGAAACAGAATATGTGGACCAACCGTATTGCAACATCTCATCAAGTACATGTAGTGTTTTGCTTCCTGGTGCAGCACACATGTCCAAAACTGCGTGATGCGGATGGATATCCGCCACCATAACTGGAAGAACCGACACAGCCTCCTGGAAAGACACCGCGCTGGCGGCGTGTAATGTTCGACAAATATACTCAACCCGAGGTTCTGTGTGGTAAACAGCATGGGAACAACCGTAGAGACCTATACTGGGAGGAAGCAAGGGAGATACGGAATGCACCACCTCACGCAGCATCGGGTCATGTAACAAAAACTCATCTGCAATACGCTTTAAAGTCCGTTCATTTCGGTGTACACGTAAAGTCATTGGAAGTGGTGAGGAAATGCAAGCAATAAACCTCTGCCACTCAACTTGGGCATCCTCTGTGTTGGCACACTCCAAGAGAGAGGCAAAACGACCCTTTGAGTAGTACTTAATGAGCGGAGCATTTTCATCCAAAGGTTCCGTGCTCCCAACATTTCGTCGCCGCTCGTGCACATTCACTGGAGCAATGACCTGAGCAATCGCAAAGCACAACTCTGTCACATCGATCTTCTCAATTGTTGATTGACTGCGCGGCGCACGACGAGCAACGGCCAACAAATCTTTGGCGCATATCCCGTTCCCAAGCCCCTCACATAGTCGATTTAATCCATCTCCCTCAAGCACGTAGACGCAGTCTTCTTCGTCAACGTCAACCGATTCTCGTGTTGAGAAGCTCTTCAGGTAACGCAAGGGCGCGGCAGGATCAGTTTGTGGGGAAATGCATGTGATAAGAGCCGAAAGCGCGGGTGGTAGACTTTCACGCTCCCGCTTACGTCGTCTTTCACGTCGATTCATTCGTGTATTCACCCCTTTCTTTCTTTTTTTTTTGTGTGTGTTTTGTTGCTGTTGCTGTTCCTAGCTTCCTCACTCCAGCTCCTGCGTTCCCAACAACCTGCAAGACACGCGCCCTCCCCTAATTCCTTCGCCCCAACTAAATAATCATACAAACGGACACATAATGAAAAAAAAAAAAAAGCCCCCAACAAACACAAAAAAAAAAAGACACACAAAACCAATGCAGTGACAGCACAAGAAATACATGTGCATAAAACACTATGGGCAATATAATTTAAATAGGAACCACCGCAAACAAGGCACTTCTTCTAAACCATCAAAATGGTAATAAAAGAACAGGAAGAGATTAGACCTCCCAAAACGCCTTTCCTTCCTTATTTCTTATCTCGCGGTCAGCACCGTGACGTAACAGATAGCGGCCCAGCTCTTCGTTATTGTCCATCGAGGCGTAAAATAAGGCGGTGTCGCCATGGTAGTCTTGCAAATTCATCCAACGACGGTGTTCTGCAGCACTATGTACCTTCCGACTTGTCACTACAAGTTCCTCCACTACATCATTTGTACCGCGACTCGTGGCACGATGAAGTGCAGACTGTCCGCGTTTATTCTGATGATCAATTGATGCCCCAAGTTGCAACAAAAAACGCACAATAGCAATATTCCCTCGCCCAGCAGCATATAAAAGTGACGTATTCCCCAGGTTGTCAGCTTGATCCAGAATGGCTATCTTATGATTCATAAGAGAGTCATCTAGGGATTTGGTGTCCCCTGAATTCACATCCGCCGTAACATGCTCTTGTTTACTATCTATGCTCTCTTGCTCCTGGGTCAACTTCCAGCTTCTCTGCGCCGCCGCTGTCGTCAGGAGTTCCTTCAGAAACTCTTCGGGTGCACCAACCATGCAGGCTGTTATAAACGGCGATGCGCCGTCGTGATCCTCGCTGAAAACCAGAGAAAAGTAGGGGGCCTTCATGAGTGTGCCAGCTAGAGAAAAATTCCGCATGGCTACCGCCCAGTGAAGGGGAGTCCTGCCATCGTCATCCTGGTACCCCCAAATGCCCTCAAACGTGTATCGCATCTGCTCATGAACTTCTCTCGTAAAGCCAGAAGCCAAATGAAACGCATCATCATCATCATAATCACAGCCCAAGTTGGGGCGCTCCGGGTATACCTGCTTAAGACGCTCTATGATGGGACCAACCTCGCTGGCCTTGCACAGCTCCGACAGGTGAGAACTCATCTTAACTCCCTTGGGTAAAATCTATGAGGAATCATAAAAACAGAAGCAGAGAAGGCATACAAAAATAAATAAATAAAATAAAAAGAAGGCAATGAGATAGAACAAAAGTGGCAAAAGGATCCTAATGTCCAGCTCTTTAATTATCGGCTGCGCTCATCTTTTTGCGCTCCCGTTTTTGAAATTCAACAAGATTAAACAAAAAAACAATTGGAGAAATAAGAGTGCTTGGGTGGGTGAATGCACGGCATTGCGGACACCCATCACAGCACCCCTCGCCTCTCCCAAGCCAATTCCAATGGCAGCACCATATATTCAATACTCATTTTACATAATGACAGGGGTGAAGACCCAAGGACAAAATAAGCAGACAAAACAAAAAACAAAAAAAGAACATACACAGAGAAAAATAAATAAACAAGAGAGGGGGGCGAAAAGAATATTTAGAAGAAAGAGGGAAATTGTTTGCATTTACCCGTCCTCTCCCTTTTCGTCGCAAAAAATCCAACTCTCATCCCTGTCCAGATTTTAGCCAATATGCCTTGCAACTCTCAGCACACTCCACCGCAAGACGCATTTTGGGCAAAAATACCGCCATTTTCTCAAAAAATGGAATAATAATATAATTTATGAATAAAATCTGGCCTTTGGCGAGAGCAGGCTCCATGCGGTCCATGAACGGACTACACTGCACGCCGAGATTCCTTTCCCGATCCCCCTGAAGATAAAACTCATCCGATAACTTTGAGCTCCATTTGAGGTAAATTTCAAGTGGCCGGCCACAGTTGGAGATATCAGCCATTTTCAACGCCATGACTAAGGCCAGATTTTGATTTTCGCGTTCCGTAAAGGAAGCGTGCTCCTCAAGGCGGTCATTAAAGTGCGCAATGTGCTTCCCGTGCAAACTCATATCTGTAGCCAACACCATCTCAATAACAGTTTCCCGGATTTCTTTTTGTTGGTCCTCAGAAAAACTCTCAAGAATGTTAAATCGCGGATTCTTCATCAGTTCAAAAACACTAGAAACATGCGCATTTTCAAGTACACTTCGATCATTGTAAACTATTGCGCTATAAGTTTGTGTCTTGATATGAAAGTTGTTATTGACACCAGGGTGATTGTAATCGTGGATAGCTGCCGCAAAAAGGGCTGCAAACACCTGCAGGTCTGATAATTGACAACGCTCTATCATTCCCCCTTTGCTTAGTATGTAGTGTGTGATGTGAAGAACATCCGCTGCATGCATAGAGTTGTGATACGGATTGCCATTATACCCAGCCTCTACACAACTGATCCAGTTCAATGCAATCTGTTCATCAATGTTAAACTTGGAAAGAAAACTATATTTGATTAGCAGTGCGTACATGGTTATAAAAAGAGAACCACCATTTGGTTGATGATGCAAAGACGCAAAATCATCTCCAGACATGGTCTGTTGAACCTCAAAGACGTTATAATCCCACGCATCCAATTTATTCATAGCTTCCCATACAACTTCTTGTTGTTTATTACCAAAAACAGGGGTTTGGTTCGAAACGCCTGGTGACGGAGAAGGCACAATAACACGATTACATGATGGACCCGCGTCTATACCAGACAGGGTCATCCAGCGACTTTTGATGAGGCAAAGAAGTTCGGGATCATACGCCGCGCACTCCTTCTCTCCAAGCGGTTGTCGAATACGGCCCTTGTGTCGTGCTTGCGTGCTGCTCCTGTGGCTCATGTTTGTGGTTGCTTCACCCTTTGTTGCTCTATGAGCGCACTCATAAATTCCTTCGTAATTGGTCACCTCTTCCCGTAGCTGCTTGATTCGCTGGATGTTGTATATGTCCAATTTTCTTCGCCTATGGGCAATTTCCTTCAGGAAACAAGCCTCCTTTTCCAACTGATCCGTCTTTATTTTCAGCTGAGCAACCTCCTCGGTCAACTTTTTCAGTTTCTGTTCCTGAGTATTTGGATGGGCCTGAAATTGATAAAGATCGACAAGTCCCTTCTCGATAGTTGGCAGAACAGACACATCCACTTTACTCACATTAAACTCCGCCCCACAAACTCCAGCACCCTCCCCGCTGGCGTCGGCATGGCACATCACTTCCACAGAAGCATCCGTTGCCTTCTGTACCGTGACCTGGCCATTGTTGAAGGCCTCACGGACCACACTGAAGAAGCGCGCCCAGCTGACGTGTTCCCCAAGAGTCTCCTTCACATTGCAAAGACCTTCTTCGTCAAACTCGTCTTGGTAACACACACCACTCGGCATTACAACGCTGACGCAGAAACACTCCGCCTCTTCATTCATTTTCGCCATGATTGAGCATCGATCAGTCGTTGTCACGAACAAACTGGAGCATCCATGCAGCTCTGTTAGCATCCCAGCCGCGATTCCGTTTCCGTGTTGTTGACTTCTTTTATTTTGTTTGCCCCAGTCGTCTCCTGTCGCTTTTGAATTCCCAAATGTTTCCTTTTCCGTAGCTTTGTTTGTGTGTATATTGTGTGTGCGTGTGTGTGTGTGTATGTATGCAATAAAAATAAAAATAATAATGAAAATAATAAAAGAAGAAAACAAATTAATTGGAACAATTTTTTTCTTTTTCTTTTCTTCTCTCATCCACACATCTGACTCACTTGGGATATTCATCCCCTCAGTGGAAATGCGGGCTGTGCATCTGGCCAGGACAGGCAGTCGGGGGGAGGGAGGGAGGGGGGTGTGCGTGGGTGAAGGCGCAAAATAAAACGTATAATTAAAAAAAAAAAAAAAAGCTAAAGTTTCAACGCGTGTGTGAGCCGAATTTCCACTTCAACGGCAATTTGAGACTGCACGAAGAGAAGTTTGTGTATTTGAGTTCTTCCGCAGCGGCACGTGGAGAGCCGCTCCCAACCTCTGCTTAGCTCCCCCTCCCGCCCTACCCAATTAAACTCACGCACACACAAAAGGAGAGAAAAAGGAAGAGAAAATGACAAGGTGGAATTGAAAGTATGCACTTTGTCAACGGTCAATAAAGAGAAACATCAGGAGTCAAAAATACGCCCAAAAGTGGAAATAAGAGACAAAAAGATGAGAGAAAGCTTGGGTAACTAGTAGACATATACACAAAAGATTTATCAAGTTTATTTATAATTGCATGTACAGAAGGAAAAAAAAAAAAGCACAAGAAAAGCAACAGCAAAAACAACAACAACAAAAAAAAATGAAAGATTTTCATAACTACTTTTCTTTCTTCTCATCTTTCCCTCATTTTTTTTTTTTTTCTTTTAGACTAAAATTTACACACTTGGGGTTCAAACCTATCAATCAAAACTAGTGCATGTCAATACTGTCTCTCCTAATAGCAGCAATCGCAGACCTTAGATACATTCACTCCACATCTATTTTCAATTCTGTTTATTTTTTATTCTTTTCCTTTACATCATACTCACGAATTGTTTAAATTAAATTTGCTCCATTGACGTCAATCCTTGATTTACGCCATATATTTCGTATTTACATGATTATTTTATTCTTTCAAATAAACATATACATGTATGCATATATGCCCCGTTCATGCATATGTACTTGTTCCCGTCATATAAATATACATATGTATATGACTCCAGCACCCCTCCCACACACACACAAAAAAAAAAAAAAAAAAAAAAAAATGGAGAGAGGGAGAGAGAGACAAACCCAGAATTAAAAAGATTATATACGACCATGTAATTATGTACATATAATAGATATATATAACATTGATAGAATATAAAATAAGAAATTATATCGTATAAATGTGCGTATAAAAAATTGCTGGCCTATAAAAAGAATGAGGTGATCTTCCATTAAATCTTATTTATACCGTTTTGTCATTGTACCTCTCTCGCTCCCTCTCTTTTTTTTTTTTTTGTTGTTGTTTTTTGTTGACCGTTTATTTACTGGTTACACAAACCGACTCATCCGGTTCCCCCCAATGCAGCCCACACTCTTTCGTGTGCCCCTCCCCCCAGAAAAAATTGGGCGAAAACGCAAGAAAAAAAAAAAAGAAGACGGCACCTAAAGGAAGAACAAGAGAATAAATAAAACAGCAAAAAAAGAAAAAAAAAAAAACTCGGAAGAAAAAAAAAAGAAACATCAACAGTTCAGTGCTGAGTCACACATCACTGCAAGCATAAATGAAAAAAAAGGAAAAAAAAAAAAAACATGGGGGAAAAAAAAGCAAGAAGAAATTGAAGGCTGCAGCGACCGCAAAAAAAAAAAAAAGACGATACGAATGCAAACAACAACAACAAAAAGAAAATAAAATAAAATCACCACTAAAACACGTCGGAGAGTGACAAGTTTCATGTCTCTTAAGTGCAGCAGTGGGAAGCCCCGTGCCGCTCCACCTCCTTGTCCCCTCGGAAATTCAACACAACTTGAAAAAAGCCCTCAGATCTCGTTTTTTTTTTTTTTTTTTTTTGGCCAAAAATGATGTCGACTCTCTTGTTTTCTCTTCTCTTCCTGGTCATTGCTCTTTTTTTTTTTTTCGTTCTTTGGAAGCATGTTTTGGAAATGGCAACCATGGTAAAAAGACGGTGCATTACGCTTTGGTATACTCTCCGTCACAAAACCCTGCAAACATCTCTTGTTGTTTTGCCGTCAGAGGTGGCAACGGATGGCGGGGACTCTCTGGATAGCGGTCAAAGTAGCGCGTATCCCCTTCCTTATTTAGCCGCACAGGAATGGGCGGTGTTACCTTTTTCTGTAAAAGTATATCCCAATCTACTCCGCTATAAAATTTGTGTCGCTTAACGTCTTGGGTGCCACGATTCAGCGAGCCAAGGCGCTTTGTGGGCTCAAGCACCAGCAGACCCTTGATAAGATCCTTCGCCCGTGCCTCAACCCAACGCGGAAATTGCAGCTTGCCCTCCAGAATCTTTTCATATATTTTAAAGGGACTCTCATCAAAAAACGGCGGATAACCAACCAGCATTTCATACAATAAAATGCCAAGCGCCCACCAATCCACAGCTTTATTGTGGCCTCTGCTTTGAATGACTTCCGGAGCCAGATACTCTGGGGTGCCGCACAACGTAAACGTGCGTTCGGTCACACGCTTGGCAAACCCAAAGTCGGTGATTTTAATGTTTCCTTGTGCATCCAATAACAGATTTTCCGGTTTTAGGTCGCGGTACACGATGTTGCAGTTGTGAAGATACTCAAATGCTAAAATCACTTCTGCAGAATAAAACTTTGCGACATCATTGGGAAATTTTCCGGCTTTTCGCAGATGCGTGAAAAGCTCACCACCTACCACGTACTCAAGAAGAATGTACAAACGGTCATTGTCCATAAAGCCCTTGAGCATGTTTACGATAAAGGGATGATTAAGCTCCTGTAAAATACTTGACTCTGCCAAAATATGTTCCACTTGCTTCATGCGCAGCACCTCCTGCTTTTTGAGAATTTTTAGCGCCATATATTTCCCAGATGTTTTGTGCTTACAAAGGCGAACACGACCAAAGGTTCCAGTGCCTATCGTTTCGCCTAACTCTAAATCATGAAGCTGCCATTCGGCCACCTCCTCCTTTGTAACGGTCGTACCAGCCTTCATCCTGCTCCTCCCCTCACTGTCGCTCCTTATCTCCACGGCCACACAATATCAATAAACAATATATATATATATATATATATATTGACAATCGTCTGTTGAGGCAGATGTACAGATCAATATATCACGACTATTTTTTTTTTTTTTTTAAGGGTCAAGCACTGAAGAAAAAAGCCTTTCAACTCTACCTATATACCGCTGGATTTGCAACCAATCCCTCCTTTATTTTTCTTGGTCCTCAATGGATATAAATTTCGTAATGCGTTGCCTTCACAAAGAAAACTTCCTAAAACTTATCAACCAAGGTAAGTAAAATATATATACGCATATAAGAATAAATTCAATGCTCCTACACCTCTCCAGAAACACTCACTCACACGCGCTATTATAGCAAAAAAATAAAAAATAAAAATAAAAAAACAATAAATAATTACCTCTGGAATATATCTTCGTCACAATCATGCATTACAACAATAAAATCCAAGCTCTAAGCAAATAACTTAGCCAACCTTACCGCCCCTGACTCTTGAACAGAATTCCACCCCTTTTCAATAAGTTGCACTGCGGAAGCATCCCCTTTTACCCGATCCTTCAGTTGTGTAAGTAAGTCCGGCTCACCATGACGACGGCAATCGGCTCCAGCTCCTTCCCAATCACTACACAATAGATAATATTCCATTCGCTGTTCAATTTGGGGGATCTTGTGTATATATTGCTTGGCTTGTTCCTGACGCCCACAAGCAAGTAGTGTATTGATAAAGGCAGAGGCTCCAATGACAGGCTTGTTCTTATTTTTAACGTCACCCAGTTGATCAATGAGTCCCCACTGTGACATCGTTGTGTATGCATCTAGCATGGACCAGCAATGCATCTTGTCAGAAACGCCAAATTCTCTCTTAAGACGCCCTGCCACCCCATCACAGCCATGCTCATGGCAAAGAACAATCATTCGCTTGACACTCGCATTAAGAAAGCGTTTATCATTATACTCTCTTACTAGTTTTGTCTGTTCATCCAAAAGTTGCATATGTAAACGAACCCAATTCTCATTTGTTTGAGAAGATGTAGAAAACCCACTAAGAACCACAGCATGAGGAAGCGCGTTTCTTACAATAGCACTATTAGAAAAGCCGCCAGGAATTTCTCGTTTAACTGAAATAGCAACATTTTCAATGGCAGTTAGTTTTTTCTGTTGTAATATCTCCCAATTGCTGTTTTTTTTCAAAAGTGATTGTTTCACACCTTCTTCCTCCCTCAAGTAATTTAAAATATCCATATAAGTTTTGTGTTCCGGATGTGTTTTATGATGTTCCATAAGAAGCTCTCGATGGATTTCAGAAAAAGTGGCATATAAAAGAAAAATCTTTTCCGTAGTCAAATCGCTCATTAAGAGAGGAAGAGCCTCGATACCCTGGTGAGAGATAAGGTACATCATAGCTGTAAATATCAGATCTGTGTCTCCACTCGTAACGGCTTTCTGAAGAGCAAGTTCGGGTTGATTGATATCCAGTAATTTTGGTATCTGTTGTAAGGCAACTTTTTCGGCCTCTAAAAGTAACAAGGCGGCGTGTTTTTTTTGTTTTACATATAATTTACAAGCAATTTCAGCAAATGAATTTTGTTTCAGTTCCTTCAGTTTTTCAATCACATCCAATGCCGTTCGTTTTTCTTCCGTCACACTAAAAAAAGGTTTGGTTAACTTCGCCAAAGCCCATTCCATCATCACTCTTCTGGTGTTGAATCCTAGAAAATCGCATATATAATACGCCAATTGATGATGGCACATTTGTAAAAGTCTTTCAGACAAGCGATCCCCTTCCAAAGATAAAAACTGTGCCTGTGACATCAACATACCTACTTTGCTTTTGCGTAAGGCATTCAAAACGCGTAGTCTTCGGGTCATATTGACAAAAAAATCGGATTCATACATTGAACAAAATGATTTCCCAAAAGCAGCAACCCGCATCAATCTTTTTTGTTGTGAGATATTCCATTCAAATCCAGCAGCCGCAATACAATCATTCACTGCCTCATTCATTTCAGCGGGGTTCCTTTGTAGATCTCGAATCATTTTTACAGAAGATGTACCACCACACATAAACTCATCAAACGCAAGCAATAGCAGTGCAGAATTGGCCCGAGATCCCACAGAAAAAATACGACGACTTGGTGCCGAAACAACCTGAAGAAATTGATACGCATCTGATGAAAAAATCCGAATACCATCACACTCGGAAAACAAATAAGGAGAAGAAGGGATATCATTCAAAAACTCCGACTGATCCGGATCATCCACATTGACTAATGTTAATCTTGTTGGAAACTCAGCATTTTCATCAAATTGTCTAGCCAAATGCAAGTATGTAATGCATTTATCCCCACACCAAAGAAATTGAACTGGCATAACGTCCATTTCAATATTGATCAAACGTGTAACATCTTCAAATGAGCGTGAGGCAACGCAGAGCGTTCCATCCCGAACCAAAAAGGCAATCGATTGACCATTTGGGGAGAGTGCCATATGAACCACACTACCTCCACCCACAGATAAACGAAGGTCAAAACATCGAGGATTATTATAAAAGACACAATGAAAAAAACTAGATACATTTTCATTCGATAGAAAAGGTATAAACAGTTCAGTGTAACCAGTATCACTAAATTGTTTTGGAATGGCCAACATTACCGTCGGTTTTTGGTTCTGAAATACCAGAGGAAGTTTCAAGAAAAATTTTCTATATTCCCCACTAGAATGATATTCCAATAGAATCACATGAGGCTCCCCATCATCAACCAATAGAGCGATTCCATTTGCTGTGCTAACACATAATAATCCAACCGGAACCTTGATAGATGATGCAACAATTTCTCCCGCCAAATTAAAAAATCGTACTTCCCCTGTGTTCAACAAAATAATGAGATGATCATTACATTCATTCCAGCACATGAAGAAAACACTTTCCATACCATTCAACTGAATATGCGACTTCACAGGGTGTGGCGCCCCTCTTGCATTATAAAAACAAATAGCATTTCCACCCTCGTTCAAATCAAAGCGTTCCCCGCAATATAATGCTAGGGGACCACCTGCGGTACAATAAGCAACTTTTAACTCGGACAAACCCGTTTTCAATCCCCACAATAAATCGTCAAAATCAATTAATCGCACCACAGTTTCCCTAGTAAGAGCTATCCAAACTCCAGCTCTTGATGTCCTCACAAAGCCTCGTTGATATACCATTTCCCTTCAATTTCACCCCTCCCAATGAAATAATAATAAACAAAGAAAAGCCGGTTTTGGTTCTTGTTATTTTTTTTTTTATATTATTATTATTATTATTATTATTCGTGCTATTATTGTTATTCTTGCTATTATTATAAATCTCTTTGTGTTGGTTTTTCCCCCTTTACCTGTGTATGTATATATGCATCTAAATTTCCCTAACGCAAACAAAATATATATATTTTTAAAAAAGTTATTATTATTTTTTTCTTTCCATTGTTTGAATATTTTCATAAATTTAATTGTAAAAAATAAAAATAAAAATAAAAATAAAATAAATAAATAAATAAATAATATACACACAATACAAAATGAACAAAAAAAACTAAAATATCGTTACCAAAAGAAAAAAATTCCAATTATTTATTTTACTTAATTCATTTTATTTTATTTATTTTATTAGAAGTATTAGTATTATTAGTTTTGCCACCGTAGAATAAAATAATAATAATAATACTTCTAATAAAATAAATAAAATAAAAAAAAAATAAATAAAATAAGAATCTTTCAAGAGAAAATCAGATCATTTTGTTTTCTCTTTCTAAAGGGACTGAAGAATAAACACTCATGGCAAAGGGCACATTTTCCGAGTGCTTCTTCGTTAATGGAATAATATTTATTTTATCATTGGGTTTAACACATAAATCAAAGCAAAAAACCACAAGAACATCTCTCCGAAATTCGGTGACAAAGTGAGGACGACCATCTTCACAACAAAAATCTGGATTTACCCAAAGCTCCAAACCGACAGAATGAGTTCTTTTCCTTACAGGTTCTTGAGAAAGTGCCACCACAATTTTTTCAACCTTTTCTTGGCTAGTGTTTGTTAAGACCAGTGAAGAATTTAAAACATCCCTCTTGGTTAAAACACCCTCTATCGTACATTCATAAAAAGATGGAAAAGGATTTATTTGAAATCTATCCGTTGAGGTTGCAGTTAAAGTACATATACATCGAGAAGAAGCCGATGCCGTAATTTGCAAACGTTCATTTTCTCTTAAACGTATAACAAAGGCGACTTCTTCATCATAAAGTTTTTCGGTACATAGCAAAGCATTTCTTGAACATATATCATACCGTCGTTCGATTTCATTTCCATTATCATTTACTTTGTGTACATGTAATTGAATCCAATCTGAACGATTTGCGGTATAATCATCGCTTTTTCTCAGAACAATCATGATTTCAGATTGTGGTTTCCCCATATTTGTTAGCAAAAAAGAGGGATTCGTGGCAAATTTTGAAGAGCTATCTGTTCCCCCAGAACACTCACATATGTGTTCTACAACATTCTTATGATTCGTCAATGGATCATTTCGAGGCCAAAGAAGAAGACATATTTTGTCAAAATACGTCAAAAAATCCTCAAAACCTATCCAATACCGTGGAAGGCCAGAAACAGACTCCATTTTTGAATAAGAGATAAAAAAAGTATCTTCACACTCTAATTTATTTGGACACGAAAGCTGTACCATATATGAAGGGTGTGGCTTTTCATCCCGATGTGCTTCAGTAGCTGCTACAACATATGACATATAGGGTTCAATACCTTTTTCTTTTGCAGAAAGCATCGCCATTGAATTACGAGGAATAAGACGAGCAGATAAAATTTTTTTTGAATTTGTTAGATCTCTCAGAAATCGAAACAATTCAGTTTCCGTAAATTTCTGTCTCAAAAATTTCCAATCAATTGCAAAAGTAATTCCACCAGTTAATTGCGAAAGAGCAGAACCAAAAGTTACACCAGAAATATTATCGTATCCACCATAAAGCTTAGCAAATGCCTTTTCCACCAAGCAACCCCAGTAATCATCAGAATCTCTACCGTGATGAATCCCAGCAGGTTCACCGTTTAAAAAAGGAATTTGGTCATCCACAATAACAGTAACCAAAGAAGATCTTATGCAAAAACAAAACGCAAAAAGTCCCAAATTTGGAAGTCGTCTTACACAGAGTTGCTTGCTAAGATGATGAAATTGTTGCACCACATTAAGAGCTGCGCAAAAATTCTTTGTATCATTGTACCTAGAATGATATAGGGGCTTTTCTCCCACACAACAACATTCGCGTTTCTTTGCTTCAGTCAGAAGACTACTTACCCTAATCCACGTTACATTAGGATTTTTCAAGGCTTCTTCAGGTGGAAATTCCTTATCTGTAAAGAGAACGCCTCCTTCCATAACAGAACGTGCAATTCCCCAAAGGGAATCATTCTGCATTGATTTTACTACTGGTTTCTTCGGTTCAGTTTCGTTTTCTTCAGTCCAGGACTCGACTCGCCAGCGCCATGATCTCGGAGCTTCGGGTTCCACAGCTTTTTGCCAATATTGCATTTTCTTTTGAAAACAAATATTATTCATTTCCACTTGTGTCTTAATGGAAGCTTCCAAGTATTCAGGTAATAATGTACCCATAAGATCAACGTAAATTAGGTCATCGCAAGCAATAGATAGCTTCCTTACAGCTTCTCCGCCTTGAATCCCAAGATGCACATTTCTAAGAATAAGTTCCTTCACACAGCCATCACTCAAAACAGAAAATAATCGGACTAGCTGAGTCATAGTTATTTTTATACCACTAAGATCCACCCTTTCAATGTCATCCCGTCTCTCCAACAGTTTAATAAGGGATTCAAAGTGCTTAGACGAGACAATAAGTAAACTAAGATCGATCTTCTCGGGAGATGCTGCAAACGCTTTCTCTAGCGCCAAAAGCGGCTGTAATCCCAGCTCTTCGCAAATTTGCCGATATTCACCCAGCACGGAAAGTAAGCACATACACTTCGAACTTCGGTAAAAAAAGGCAAGTAAGAAACAAAAAAAAAAGGCCATCCGCACAGGAAAAAAAGAACCAATTGTGCGACAACGGCCATCGCCACAGCCAAATCTGTCAAAAATTTTTTGCGCGGCTTCTTTCGCACGCCAACAAGCTTAACCCACATCCGTTCATAAATACAATACCGTCGCCGATTCCATGATGGCAAAGAGGTCAGGCCGCCGAGAAGGCGCAACTCACTCGGCGACAACACCCCGATGGGATCACCACCGGTCGAATTTCGCTGTGCAGCATGCGGCTTTTGGCGCCGCAGCGGTGACGGACCGACCCACCACCGCACAGCACGCCACGGAGGTCGACCTGACATTGTGAGAACCGGCCCGCATGAACAGCGCGAGGAGACAGTTCTGCATCTACTCCGATGCCCGGCTCTGCGGGCGCCCGGGGAACACATGGACTGAACACTGAGGAAGCGAGGAAGCCGCGCTTCACGAAAAAGTTGGCGCGGTTTTTCCTTGAAGTGGAACGGCTCCGTCGCCAACAGCGCCTCCACGCGGCGAGGAGGCACGACGCCCCTCACGGATGCGGCGTGAAATCGATGCTCCGGGAAGGCGCCTTTTTTTAATTCTCTTTGTTGTCGGATTAATTGGCCTAATGATTTGCTGATTTGTTATTTTACTGGTTTTTGGCAGCGGCGGATCATCGAGCCACCGCGCCTGCAGGGGCGGCTGCATAAAGTGTGCGTTTCGCGCCCTCCGCTGCGGCCTCCTTTTCCGGGGTGGTGGTTCTTCTTCACACTTCCAC